TGCCCAATATGACCTCTACCAGGGAGAGGAAGATCCAATACTTGCAGGGCTGTTATAAGGGAGGGGGCAGACTTGTTCTGCATGGTCCAAGGGGTCGAATGAGGAATGATACGGGCTGACAGACTTTGGCTCAGTAAAAGGTAGAGCTTTCCACCAATGAGAGCTGCTCAAAAGCCAGTGGAGTTCTTTGGGAGGTAGTGGGTGCCCATCCCTAGAGGGAGCAAACAGAGGTTGTGGGAGTGGCCAGAGAAAGGTTCCCTGTTCTGCGACCTGACCATTGCATCTTCTTCAGAATTTGTTTGGTGGCGGCGGGGGCGGGGGGGGGGGGGGCTCTTCTCATTCCATGAGCTCCCTCAGTGATCCCAACTTTGGCTTCCATGAATAGCTTCCCCATCCTGTTCTGAGTTCCAGCTCTGTGTGTCCAGGAATCCATCAAACACTTTGTCACGGATGATCCATTCCAAGCCCAGTCAGAATTGTTCTTCCCCCCTCATTTCCAGGTCTCCCCATCTTCTGTGTGTGACACATGCACCCATTGGTTGAAGCCTTCAGTACATCCTTGGCTCTTCCAGCCCCTCGCGTACAAACAATCCCTAAGACAGTCATGTCTACCCTTGAAATATCTCCTAAGCTGTGCCCAGGTATCATTAAGTGACTCTGATGAGATAGTGTTCAGTTCATGTTTTGAAACACCTATTCTAGATGTGGTTTCCTTTTGCTGCTCTGAGCAGTAGCAATTTTCACGGGGTGGGAAGAGGGGGAAGAGAAGGCGGGAGAGGAAGGGAGGGATGAGTCCCTAAATGAGTCACTTCAGATGCTGTTAGAAAGACCCAGAATAACGGTGACGCTAGAACAGATGCTTTATTCTCACCCAAGCGACAGTCCGGGTACGTCCAGTGCTGATACTGCAGCCACTCAGGGGCCTTCTGTCCTGCTGTTCTGCAGTCCCCAGGGTGTTGCCTTTGGCAGCATGGTCCTAGATAGCTCACCACAGCTGTGTTCCAGCCAGTGGGAAGGGGGAGGAAGAGAGAGAGGGTATGCTCCTTCTCTTTAAAGGCATGCCCCAGAAGTTGTACACATCAGTTCCTCCCACATCCTATTAACCAGAAAATGATCACATGGCCATACCCTGCTGCAAGGCAGGCTGGGATCTGTAGTCTTTAGCCAGGAGGCCCTGTGCCTAACAAAATATTCTACAGAAGAGGAGGAGAATAGATGTAAGGGGAACACTAGTGGTTTCTACCACAGTCATTTTGTACATTTCAGTGTGACCTGCATGGCAGTTAATTGGCAAGACCTTAAGGATAGAGTACGTGAAGGCTTAACGTACTAATGAAGTTCCATTAGCATCCAGTAAAGCGTTTTTTTCTTTTATAGATGGGAACATGGAGCTCAGAGAGGGGAAGTCACCTATTAAGACTGCACAGCAAAGTGTCAGAAGTGGGGCTAGAACCCAAACTTTGGGCTCACTTTTTACTGTTTCAAAGAGATCTGGCTGAGAGGCTGACAAGCAGTGCCAGGAGGACAGGTCTCTTGGGGCTGGGGAGAGACCACTTTCCCAGCCTGTCTACCTGCGGAGCTGCTCATCATTTGTCAGCACTCACCTTTAGGGTTATCATATCTCAGAGGTGCCTCCAAATAGCCCTCACTGTATCTGAAATAGCACTCTGTACGGAACTGAGGTGATTTCTGTGCACTTCCCTATTGATGCAAGACAGACGCAGCTTAGTCCTCTGTTCCCAGTGCCTGCCTACCAGGGACTTGGTGAATAGTTAAGTGAATAACTAAATACACAAATGAATGTATATTCAAGGACTCCTTCAATTGCAGGTAATAGAAACTTAGCTCAAACTGGCCTGAGGGGGGAAAAAAATGATTGGCTCAAGTATCTGGGCAGTCTAGGTGTACAGCTTGCTTCAGGCATAGCTGGATCCAGGGGCTTAACTGCTGTTTTCAGAAGCTGTGCTTCTATCCTATGCTGGCTAGCAAAGATTGACGCTGGTTATGTGGCTTGACCCTTCTTGCCCTCTCCGTGGGAAATGTTGTCCAAGCAGTCCTGGCAGGAATTGGGAAGAGGCAGGGGGTTAAGAGAATATGGGGTGCTATTGGTGGTCATGGTAGGGGCAAGGAGTTCCTCTTGGATATCCCCAGGTCCAGGGCATCTTGGTAAAGAGCCCAGCCTCAGCCCTTGTTCTTTGGTTTCGGCTTTATGGAGGTACATCTTGGGTCATCTCTTGGGAGCTTCCCTGTGGCTCCACCTCTGCTGAGGTTGGATGCACTTACTGTACCCTCAGGCCAAGGGTGACCTGGCCCCCTCACTCCTGCTCCTCTGGGAAAGCCAAGGCACCCTGTGGTCTTTCCTGGCAGGGTTCTGTGGAGTTCCTGCATTCGGCAGGGTGGGGGGTGGGGTGGGGTGGGGAGGAAGAACCGTCTGCTGACTCCAGGGCAGGTCCTGCCTGGGGATGACAATTCCCCTTTGTAGAAAAGGTGGGCAACGTAGTATGAATGCAGAGTGAGGTCTGTGTGTCTCCATGGGGCTCTGCGTACTAGGCAGCCCATCTGTCCCACTGGTCACAGGCCATACTCTCATTCCCTGGCAGCATCTTGTCTCTGAGATGTGTTTCTCCCTCCTGCCTTCAGCTCTGGGAGCCCAGCTGTCGGGGTGGGAGTCTCTTGGTGTCCTCGGTTCCGGTGTGTCAAGGGCTTCTCCCCAGGGAAAGCACGAGAGTGGGAACTTCCCTGAGTCCAGAGTCTAGGAAGGGAGTTGAAGGGAGCAAATCCAATGCCCACCCCTGCGAACCTCTCATCCTCCCTCTGGAGGGAAGGACAGCTCGGCCCTTGGGGAACCTGATAGGTCTGGTCGGAAGAGAGGTGCTCCCTGACCTCCCCACATTCGTGGAGGTGGCAGGCAGTCCCAAGCGACCCTGGCAAGTACAACCCAGTGGCAGGAATTAGCTTGATGGATGAAGGAGAAGTCATAAGAAAGGTCTTGAGTACAAGGCAGAGGCCTGTGGGTTTACTCCCGTGGTAAATAGGGAACCATGAGAGGTGCCTGTGGGGGAAGGTTGTGAGCAGATTCCTACCTCAGGTCCTAAGATGAGACATGTAAAATGTGGGGTTGTCAGGGATGGACTGGAGGGTCCCAGGAGGATCACGGGAGTGCTGGTCGCACAGGTCGGGGTGGGAGACGGTGGGCATGGGCAGCAGTGGGAAGGGTGAGGGAGGCCCAGGAAAGACAGGCCTTGGTTCTGTCTGGGGGTGAAAGAAAGGAAGGGAGACTCGGAATCTGGGAGTTTCTTAACCTTAGTCCCTGTGATTCCCTCAGTGGGCAGGCAAGCATGGCAGGCCGCTGCCTGCCAGCACTTCCTCTGGGCCGTGGTGGCCCTTGTAGGCAGGATGTGGTGCCCGCCAAGGGTGACTTTGTGAATGGAGCGTGAAGGCTGCTGACTCAGCAGGTGGCAAGGCTTTGAGGCCGCCAGGTTTGGACCGGAAGTGTCTGGGAAGGAAGTGGCTGCTCAGGGCTTCCCCGCCGTGGACAGCTGGGGGTGGAGGATGTGCTGGGCAGGATGCACCCGGCTTGGCTAAGGGACTCCCTCAGCTCAGCTGCTGGGTGTGTGTGGGGGTGGGGTGGGGAGTGGGGTGCTAGGCTGGGATTGGGAGGGTTGAGGCTGGGTGCCTGTGACTGGAATTGGTGCTAATGGCTGTTGATGACATTTGCTCCCTGGAAGGGCAGAGAGGTGTGTCAGGAGGTGGGGAACTCGAACCCTTCTCATCTGTGCTCTCTGGCAAATTACATCACACTAACGAAGTCCCCTCCCTTATCGGGGCTTTAATTTTTTTCTTCTTGCAGAATGGGACCAAGTCAGGCAGCCCCGCTCCCTGGGTGGTTTTGGAGAGTGTGAAACCTTTTATATTTTTGTGAAATCGTGTTGGATAGCATGAATCGACCCTGGTGACGTGGGTTGGTCAGGAGGTGGCACGAACAATCAGGCAGCAGCTGTGGGACACAGGGAGAAGGCGGACAGCTTGGTGGGGCTGGGGGCGGGCAGAAGGGCAGCCAGGACCAGGAGCGGGGCTGGACCCGGGGAGGTCTGGGCCTCCCTGGCTCAGGTCTGACGTGTAGTCACAGAAATACCTCACTCGGTCCTGACTCCGCTTGGGGGGTCAGCCCCAGTCCAGGCCTCGTCCATTTCTGATCGGTCTTGGGTACTCACTACACACAGGTTAAACTAGCCAGTGTCTTGTCCCTTCAGCCCCGCACTCATATACCAGGCTGCCTTCTAGAAGTCTCACCTGCAAGTTCCTGCACAAACACTGCTCACGGTACGTGCCCTACACCGAACCCTTCCACGTCCTCTGTCTCCGTGAGTGTCCCACGTGGTCACTGGGCTCAAAACCATGGACACCCTGACTGCTCCCTCTCTCTCTCCCCTGTCCTACCATGCTGTCGCTTTCTCCCAGACCTGCTTTGTCTCTTCTGTCCAGCTTTTCTCATTTATCCTGCACGTGCTGTCAGAGTAATCTTTAGGAACCACAGCTCTGACCATATCCTTTCCCCTATTCCAGAACCTTCAGTGGCTCCCAGCTGCCTTTAGGACAAACTTTCAACCTCTTAGCCAATCTCTAAGTCTTATTCTCCCATACCAGCTGTTGTTTTGAGCCAAACCAATCCGTGTACCTCCTTGGCCTGAGCAGGCAGACTTGCCTTTACTAGCTGCCTTGCCTCTCCTTCCTTTTGTTTGCATACCAACATCTTAGAAGGGGTGGGTCCCAGCTGCCCACTGCCCTGCTCCCCTGATCCAGCCTCCCCAGTGACTCACTTCCCTCCTGCCAGCATCTCTCAAAATATCCCTCAGCAGGGAGCCTTGTGCGGGTATAGGAGGGAGGACCTCCCAGCGAGCAGTTGCAGCCTTCCACCAAGCTGGTCCAGGGGAGATGAGGTGAGAGAGGGCCTGGGGAGGACGTTTTGAGACAAAGGCCTCGCTTCCTCTTCCTCGCAGGCAGGGGCAGCCTTCCACCACGGAGAGCCCAGCTGTCAGCTGCCTCACGGGAAGATGCTGTGTGGACCGGGCAGCACGGGTATGCGTGTGGCCACTGCCCTGGGAGTGCTGTGGTTCTGCCTCGCAGGTGAGGGGAGCAGAGTGGGGCCTGGAGGTGGGGGAGGAGGGGACCATTCCCACCAAGCCTGTCTGTCTAGCAGGGCTGGGGAGGTTTTGGCTAACCTCCCAATCTCCTCTCTGCCCTGTCCACCTCATTCCTACCTCTGGGATCCAACAGGCAACTTACTTTACATTTTTTAGACTCTGTTTTCTCTTCTGTAAAATGGTAACGTGAGCACTAAATGTGATAACGCTGTTTCTCGAACAAACTGTATGTGTGCTTCCTCCCCAGGGCCTTTGCACATACTGTTCCCTCTGCCTGAAACTTTCTGCCCCCGAATGTCTGCATGACTTGATCCCTTATTTCATTCAAGCCTTTGCTCAAATGCCACCTTCCCCAGGCTTTCCTGGCTACCTTGTATAAAATAGTTCATCTTGCCTCCCTTGCCCTGACCTTACTTCATGCTTCTTCCCAACGTTTATCTCCACCTGACCTATTATATGTTTGCTTGCTGATTGCCTGCTCTGCTCAAAGAGCAGGATGTATCTCCAGGGCCAAGATTGATGCCAGCCACATAGCAGGTGTGTGTCCCACACAGTTCTTGGCACAGAGTTAGCATTCAATAATGGCAGCTACTTGAATAACAACATCATCATAATTCAAATCCTGATTAGTTTCTGCTCTAAGGGAGAGTTTGCCTTCTCCCGCCAAGGGGTAGACAAAGTTGAGTGTCTGGTGCCATCTGGTGGTCGGAAAGAGGAAGCACCGCTTTGCCCAGAGCTATTGATCCTTTGATTTCTTCAGACAAAGGGCTTTGTCTGGGTGATTCCTCCGGTTTCATCCCCCAAATGCCCGATACAAGGGGCACCCTGTTGGTCTCCAACTGGAGAGCTGGCCTGTGGCACCTGGCATTGTGGCAAGAGATCCAATGCCCACTTAAGACCTTTAGAGATCACTACACACTGCAAAGATGATGATACCCACTCCCTGTATGTTATTCATGATGAAAATACTAACTATAAAATGCTATTTTTCTAAGTGTGAGAAACCTTTAATGAGTGCAGTATTCAGTTAGCTTTGTTTCGAGACTGTTTGATCTTCACACTTTTTTTTTTTTTTTTTGCGGTACGCGGGCCTCTCACTGTTGTGGCCTCTCCCGTTGCGGAGCACAGGCTCCGGACACGCAGGCTCAGCGGCCATGGCTCATGGGCCCAGCCACTCCGCGGCATGTGGGATCTTCCCGGACCGGGGCACGAACCCGTGTCCCCTGCATCGGCAGGCGGACTCTCAACCACTGCGCCACCAGGGAAGCCCTATCTTCACACTTTTTGAGTGTGCCTGCTTTGCTGATGCCCAAAGCACAAAATCTAACCATTACCCAAGAATGGCAGTGCCAGGCTAGGGGACACATCTCACCAAAAGAAAAGCTATCAGGAACCCCTGCTTAATTTTCCAGGGCTCTAAAAGAAGAGCTGGACTGGAGGCAGAGGTGACTGGGTGGGAGGCTGCAGGGTAAATCCACAGGATAGAGGGCAGGGGTAGGAGCAGGGGAACCTGCCCCACCGGGCTTTTCTCTGGTTGTGTCATACTCTTTTTTCATTCCCTTTCAATCTCAGCTTAATATCTCTTTATGGAGAAAGTGGCTCACCACCATATTTAAATACATGGGTATTCTTTCTTTCTTGCATAAAAACTAATCATGTGTATTTAGGAAAAGAAAAGTGAAAAAGCACTTGTGATTCTTTCTCATCCAGAGAAAACCACTAATAACATTTTGGTGCATACTTTTTTAAGACTCCCTTTTTACAATTTGTAAAGATAATATATATTTGGGAAATGCAACCAGCACAGACAGGTGTAAAATACCTGCCAGAGTTTTGAAGAGCTACCTCCTTGCTTTCTATCCACTGGCTTGCTTTCTTCCTTCATACCCCTAATCACATACTAATAAGAATTTGTGTGCTAGTTTGTCCCTCTCTCCCACTAAGACGTAAGCTCTGTAGGAGTGTGACCTTGGTGTTGTTCTCCGTGGCATTCCTAACTCTTACCCCTGGCATAGCGGGTGCTTACTATATTCCTGCTGATTGAATTAGAACCAAAGGTAATAAACTCTTAGGCCTTAAAAAAAAAAGGGGGTGGACAGGGCCTGAAGTTAACCCGGAAGGGGAGGGGGACTAGGGAGGCCCGGAGTGTCCCGGCCCCTCCTCACCGTCCCACCCCACCAACCGCATCCCCAGGCGCCGCAGTGGAAGTCCGGATCCCTGAAGACCCCGTGGTGGCCCTCGTGGGCACTGACGCCACCCTGCGCTG